CTGCTACTCCTCTCATTCGTCTCTACTGCATACATACTATTCATTTCCTCCCCCAAAAGAAACCAATTATTAAAAAATATCCAGAAGCTTGCAAGACAAGAATTAAGATGTAAAGGTTGACACACCTCTGATTTCTCTACCGGTGATGCTATCCCCAAATCTTCTGGTCTATAACATACCAAATTTGAGGAGACTGGCAAATGTGCATTTGGGGCTTACCTAAGCACAAAGAGAAACTTCAGAGTTTAAACTTTAAGAGTTCATTTCATTACAACAATAGGGATGTCCCAGTGATACCTGGTACAATGGGACTTCCAGCTGTACTGCTAGTTGCTGGAGCCCATTACCTAGACAGCCTACAAACACAAATTTAACAATGAGACGTTAATACAGGTCTATCAAAGAAAAAATAAAAAGCTTTTTTCTTTTGCTTTCAGCGTTTTTAAACAGAGTAACTCTTAACATTAAAGTATTTGAAGTAAAAGGCTTTACCTGGTTCTACTTAAACATGAAAAATTACACTCACGTTGCAGAGCATTACAAATTCTAATTATCCCTCTAAGACATTACAAGAGACCTTGGAATTCACCCATTTCAACCTGAGTCATTTTACATGAGCATCTCAATTTCCTCTTCTGTAAAATAAACTGGAATAAATTCTCAGATGGCTTTAAGGTCTTAAAATATCTTAGATTCTGTAATAGTATGATAATAAAATTAAGGCCATATTGGTGTAAGTTTAAACTTTTGCAAGTATTTATCAATTTTTTTTAAAGATGAAGTAGTACTAGGCTAATCCTCATCTAGTTCTAAATGTAAACTAAGAAATTAATTACGTAAAATTATGACAAATTGTATGCTTAATCTCTAAGTCACACAAAATGTATTCTGATAGAAATATCTGCCACCTAGGAATGATCCTAGAGTAAAATAATATGGTCAGGTTAAGACAACACATTCTCATTATCATGCTTAGGATTCTACTCTCATTCTAGGAAAAGGTAGTGATGTTATCACATGATGGAATTCACACCTTTTCCTTTCCAAGTCCAAATTTTAAACACTTCTCCATGTCACACACTCACAGAGCACACCCAGACAGGCAGAGAGAAACAAATTAAGCATTATACTTTTTTTCTCTGTGACAAGGTGAATGCAAAACAAAGTAATCTTGCCCTCTGCATTGCAGAGGAATAGTTCATGCAACCAATGGAGAAACCAACACATCAGAGATTTTAACTGTCAACAAAAACTTCAGATGTTATCCCCAAGAAAAGATTTTGCTTATAAAACAATTATGAATGCTTTTGTTCAAAATACTTAAAAGAATTCTGTACAACAGCTGCACTGAAAATTCTAAATAGAGGCATACTGCATTGCTCTGGAAAGAAATGTTATGCTTTCTAACACTGATAGCATCCTTTTTTTAGAATAATGTTAACTGCAAAGATATAAAGAGCAAAAAGACTTTAGGAAGTATGAAAAACAGTACACTTTGGCTATCACTTCTGGTCACCTATTGGTTACAAAACTGCCAGGCCACTGTGTTACACAACACTGATTAATCTTTCACCTACCAAAGTCACTACTGTCTGAACTTACATTATTTGCAGAGTATAACAACTTTAAATGTCATCTATTAAAACGTCCTCTATTCTACATCAAAACTGATTACATCTTACCATATAAATGAGCTCTCTCTTGAGTTAAAATTAAGACCTGGTTTCAAAATATCATCTTGCATAGCCTAGGGCCCAGTTCTATGCCAAGAAACTGATGAAGAAAACTAGGCAATCACTCAATTCATTATTACTTGTCCTTTAATCAGCTGAAAGATTGGTGAATGGAGTTTTACACTTGACTCTTTATTATAGCTGCATTTCTTCTCTATGCTAAACATTCATGAAGTCTTTATAAGCCCAAATTTCAAAAAACCACCAGGCCATTTAGTTGCATTACATAATAGGATCATATTTCATCAAAGTTAAGCATGCATTCTCACTGGACAGATGCTTAGCTTTCCTCTAATGGCTCAACTTACTAAAAAATTAACAAATAACTTTGTTTTTTCAATGAAGTGCAATAAAATTATTCCAATTCTCTATGTCTCCTTGTGATGTTACTTATCAAGCAATAATTTTTACCAGAATACTTGATTTTAGAATCCCTGGAAAAAGGCATTTTGTCCAGAAGACTCCTATGAAAAGGTCAAAACTAAAATACAACTCAAATATAACGTGCTTAAGGAACTGAAGTAAAAAGGAATCCAGTTATAAATAGTCTCTTCCTTTACTCCACAAGCGTTTCTAAAAAGGTTCAAAACTACTTTGTAAAGTAAATCCTACTTTAGGTGTGTTAGAAATGCTCACTGTTAAAAAATGAAGCACAGTTAAATCCTTTCATACAGTAAATCATCTAGATATAGAAAAAATTCCATTTAAACTAGGAACTAGATGTGCTTAGAGGAAAACCCAAATGCCTTGAGTTTCTCAAAAAGTAAAACCTATAGTTTTAATAGTAATTAAGTCACAACATCAGTACTGTCAACTCAACTAGTTAACAAGTATGTGGCTCAGTCTATTAGTTATCAAAACGCCTCACTTAACTGTAATTTGACATTTCCGCTATCTAGCAACCAAACACTGAGAAGACAGAAGATATGAAATTCATTTCTTACTTTGTGTAGTACGTTAAATCTCCATCACTACAAGGCAATTTTTCAGTATTTACTAGCCTAGTCTATAATCTCTGCAATAATAATTACATTACTTTCTCCTCTATAATTGGGGGGGAGGGGGTAGGCAATATACAGTAATGCAAACCTATACATGTGAATGACCTGTCATGGTTCAGGGCCTCACAGGGCTTATGAAACTAGATTTCTAATTTTTTCAGATGCATACTAGAATCTAACAGCCACCTCACAACTAAGGTACCTGCTAATCAGTGCTTGATTTTTATTATAAACATCTTACAAGAATCATTTTTCAGCCATTAAAATATAAATATCTATATTAAGATGTCCACACTTAAAATATTACATCATTAATATTTACCTTCTGATTCCCATCCTAGAAGAAAACAGATTTCTTAGGAATTCTGAAAACAAAAACCATTCAAGCAACAAGCAGATTGAGAGGATTATTTGCTGCATTAAGATGTTTTTAAAAGGTACCTAAGTCTCAATTTCAAATACAGATTACAAAAACTAAATCAGATGGCAGACTCAGACGACACTGGTCTTGTGCGTGCTTTTCCTATTACATATTTGAATGCAGCTCCTTAACAATTAAAATGCTTTTGTTGCTTTGTTAATACTGATAAATCTACTATTTAAATCATTTATAATAAACCACACAGAAGACAGAATTTTAAAACTCTAAAAATGTTTTAAAACTCCCCCCAAAATGTAAAATGAATCATCAAACATGCAATTAAAATAATTAAGGCCTAAATATCACCAGTGTTCTTCAAGTTATTTCCCAGAGCCCAAATTTTAGCCAAGTAGTTATGACCTCAACATCTTAAGTGTGTCTGGCTAATTAAACATTTTAAAATGACTTCTTCAAAATTCAAGATGCTATAATAAATGTTTTACTAGAGGCAGACAAGCAGAACCTATTAAATGAAAGTTATTTTCTAAAGGTAAAATGCAAAAGTTTGCCTAATAGTCACAGATGTAATTACCCCATTTTTGTACTACTGATTCGTTTTCCCTTTCCACCTCCAACCTTACTGAAGGTTGAATTATCCACTCTACCTACACACACACACACACACACACACACACACACACACACACACACACACACACACACACACACACACACACA